ATATATATATATATATATATATATATATATATATATATATATATATATATATATATATATATATATATATGCATGCGTGTGATGTTGTATGTATGTTGAGTTACTACTCTGTGAGTTTATTTCACAGCCTGCTCTCCTTCCTGAACACAGACTGGATAAGCTGAACGTGGACCAGCAGCCGCCTCAGCAATGGAACAACCTGATGAATCACGCGGTCCGAACTCAGCCGGAGCTCCAGAACAATGAGCGGAACAGGGAACCCGTGCGCCAGGAGTCCCTTTCACGGGCCGATCGTTTGAAAGACGCAGAGAAACCAAACCGGCAGAGGGAGCGCGAGTACTACACCCTACAGAGAGACGGAGAGAAGTATTCCCTGAGGAAAGATGGAGTTAGCTACATGCTGCAGAAGGACGGCGAGCGATACGTCCTCCACAGAGACGGAGAGCGATACCTGCTGAGAAAGGATGGGGAGAAATACTCGCTGCATAAAGAAGTGGAGAACTACGCTGTTCAGAAAGTGAATAACAGATATACAGTCACCCCCACAGAGGAGAAATACGCTCCTTCCAAAGATGGAGAGAAGTTCCTCCTCACCAAAGATGGAGAACGGTCTGCTCTGCAGAAAGTTGGAGATCGACACAAGCTCCAGGACGATGGACACAGCTATGTCCCTCAGAAGGAGGTTAAGAGACAGCTCTCACTGAGGGAAACGGAGCGGTACGGCACCTGGAGGGACCTGGGAACCAAACAGAGCACCGTCCACATGGTGGATAAGTACGGCAACCTGAAGGAGGTCAGGAAGTACAGCACCCTGCGGGAGGGGAACAGGTACGCTGCCGTCAAAGACGCAGAGAAGTACGCCACCATTCGGGCCGGGGAAAGGTACGGCTTTCAGATGAACCCCAGCTCAGAGAGGTCTGTGACCAAAATCAGCAGCATTACGCTGCAGCCCGCTCAGGCTGCCGCCATCGCAGCCGCAGTGTCTGCATCACGCCACAACCAGGCGGGCCTCAGCACCCAGAACCCTCCACAGGCCCCCAGCTCTGGGTCCAGGCCTGCAGAACCGCCGGGGGACCGCGGACAGAGCAGCACCGCCGCCAGCCTTCCTCTGCAGGCCCCGGCTCCGGTTCAGGAGCCGGACGGCGGCCTGGCCGGCTCAGACCGCATGCAGCAGCTGGAGGCCAGAGTCCGGACTCAGCGGAGCCGAGAGCTGGAGGACGACACTCGAAGGTGAGGCTTTTAGAGAACCTGTTTCCAACCGACAGCCCACAGCTGGGGGGGGGGTCTGCTGGGTTTAAAGAACTGATTCTTTATTGAGTTTGATTTATCCAACACTGATCAACCACTTACGGCCATTCTAGTAACAAACTGGTACAGTCAGTCTAAGGAAAGCTTCGCATGCAGAGGTTTATTCAACCAGCCCAAATGGGCGGAGTCAGAGCCAGCGGCATGCTGGGACCCTTCCTCTGCCCAGAGATACCGCCTGTGTTTGATTTCAGAGTCTCCAAAGATCCGGTCTAGGATCCGGTCTACCTGGACCGGGTCCTTATTCAAACAGGTCCATCCTTCCGCAGCTTTCACCGCCCGTACGCTCTGTCGCCTAGCAACCGTGACAGTTGACATTCAAAGCAGGCAAAGAATGGCTGCTGAACTTCTCACTGCTGTTCTGGGTGCTAATACCATTTCTGAGGAGCTTCAGCAGCAGTACCGTCGTCTCAGATATCAGATTTTTAGTCTGAATCTGAGCTTAAATTCCAGCCAAACCCATTTACACAGTAACAGATAAAAACCTTTAGATAAATCAAACATTACCGCCACATATCTGACTCAATAACCATTAAAAGAACTATTTTCATTCATTTCAGACGGAACTATTCACAGACTTAGATTATATTAAACTACACTTCCAATATTCACCACTGTTTGGTGCCATTTATCTTTTTCCTCTGAGCACGGAGCAGCCAGCCTCCTTGGACTTGCAATGAATCACAAGATACCCAAGGCTATGTAGGACTGTACCCGTCCTTAACATAGGGTAGAAAGAAGGCTGCATTTTTTGGCTGCATAACGAGGAGTCTTCCAATCTGAACAGACCTCGGCATCACGCTATGATGTAATCGGCCGATGAATCTTTAGAGGAAACAGCCGCTGGATTCAAACAGTTATGCAGCTTAATGTGCATCTATATGCATGAAGCCGCGCTCAACAAAGTCCTCCATGTGATTCCTGCTGGGCAGTCATGCATTAATCAGTGGAATAGCCCGTTAGCAGGTTTTTACACCATGAATGGGTTCATGCATCATCAGCTGACCCAGTCCTCCCATTACCCAGCATGCCACTGGTCAGACATAGGTCGTTTCCTCAGGTTTAACCATATTAGCTTCTCATCAATCACTGCTTTCTCATTCAACTGCGACATTTCTCACCGTTCCTCCAGTTAGAAGCTTTGATTGACGGATCTTTGGTTAATAATAATCTAAGATAAAAGGCTTTTAATCACTACTAGCATCTGATGAGGATTAAAGCATAAAGAACAGGTTTAACAGCTCCAGAAATGATGGGATGGACTCTCAGGGTTTCTCCTCACGGTGCTTCCTCCTTTACAGCCGCTCAGGTTTCAGCTCTGGGCTCAGATTTTAGTCTCTGTCCAATGGGCAAACTAGCCCCGCCCCCATCAGGAACTGTCGCTCCCAGCTCAGTGTCTGTGTGTCTTTCAGCGTGACGTCGTACCAGACTCTGCCCAGGAACATGCCGAGCCACAGGACCCAGACCGTGCACTGCTACCCCGCAGGTTACCGCACTCTGCCCCGCAACAGCGTAGTCAGGCCCGACAGCATCTGCAGCGTGGCGGGTTCTGTTTATGACCGGGCCTTCCGGCCGGGCCCCGGCGCCAGCACAGCGGAGAAGAGGAGGTCGCTGAGGGACGACACCATGTGGCAGCTGTACGAGTGGCAGCAGAGGCAGGCCTTCTGCAGGCAGAGCTTGGTCCAGCCAGCAGGTAACCCCCCCACACCTCCTCCTCTGTTCAGAGTCAGGATCAGGATCTGTTAGCTCTATCCAAACAGCGCCTCCTGTAGGTAGAGGTCAGGATATGTGATAAGCTCCAGGTGAGGTGATGTCAGTCGCGGTTAGAGAAGTGAGGGAACAGAGCAGCTTCTAGGTGACGCCTGCTAACAGGTGACAGAATGTTGTGTTGCTTCTTCAGGTAATCAGTTCCTAAAAAACCCCACCTGATCTTGACACCATCAGTCCTGAGTTACGGGTGGACGTCCCTCAGTGGTTTGATCCAACTTTTGCTCCTTTCCAGCATGTCGCTACGGCACCCTGCCCAGCACCAAGACCATGGGGAGCCTCTCTGAGCACGCCGTGGAACGCTGCGTCTCCACCTCTCCGTCTCACGGATCCCTGGCGCTCTACAGCACCTTCTCCCCTCCTCAGCAGCAGCTCACCGCCAACCCCAACAGCTCGCTGTCTGAGGTGTCCTCGCCTGTCCTCAGAGGCGACGGCACGTTGGAGCGTCGGCAGAGGTCTCAATTCAGCAAGGTAAGGTGCTTGGCCTTTGGCTGCTGTAACTTGCTGCATCCTGCTGCATCCTGCTGCATCTTGCTCCATCTTCAATGCTAATCCTCCTCTTCCTCACACAGTACGGATGTCCATCTGACCGACGGTCCATAGCCGCCGCCGTCCCTCCTCAGACCATCACTCCACAGTCTCTGCAGGGGAAAACGGTGAGTCCAGCAGCTGTTTGATCGCAGTAGATCCAAGGGTTCATCAGAGGGCAAAGGTCAAACTCCAGACTAGGAACAAACGATAGGGTTCAGATTTTTTTTGTCCAGATGTCTTATAACTCTGCTCTCTCTGGTTTATTGATCGTGACTCTAAGCTGGATGAAAAAAACATAGATTAGAAAAATCAGAAGAGAGTTTTGTTGATTTTCATGATGCTGATCTTTTCCCTTCAGCTTCTCTCTGGAATAACTTTCTATTGAGATTCCATTGAGACAGTGTAGGAATGAATCCAGCTCTGATCCTCCTCCACAGCTTCTTCTAATCTGATGATCAGCGGCCATTTTATGTCACTGCCTTGTAGGACCAGGGTCGACCCTAAAACAGGCTGTTCAGCAGACATGCAGCTTTTTATGGGTAGTTGGTGGAAGGAAAAAGTACAGCAATGATTTGGAGAAGTGCAGCTTTGTGAGGAGAGAGGAGGGACAGACTGAGAGCTGCTCCTCAGTCCATGAAAGCAGCTGTTTCTGTCAGGTGGTTGGATTCAGTTTGCTTTATCCGCTGGATCATCTTAAACATTAGACCTTTTTCTTTTTGTGAGCCATTTTTACTCCAAGGTCAGAATGTCAGATTGTTTCCTCTGAAGCCTCGTTCCTTCTCTGTGCAGCCGGAGGAGCTGACCCTGCTGCTCATCAAGCTCCGCCGGCAGCAGGCAGAGATCAACAGCCTGCGGGAACACACCGTAGCTCAGCTGATGGCCCTGGGAGCAGAAGGAACCAACGCCAAGGTCAGTGTCTGTCTCCTCTGAGGCCCATCCTCCGCATCGCAGCTTCACTTGTTTCGCTTTCTAATAATCCAGCTGGATAAACACCAAGACGATATGGAAGCAGAGCCAGTCTGATGGTCCTGATGGTACCTGGTGGTCCTGATGGCCTTAGGTGGTACTGATGGTGGTCCTGATGGGTCTGATGGTGTCAGGTGGGTCCTGATGGTGTCAGGTGGGTCCTGATGGTGTCAGGTGGG